AGTCAGTGACCAGCCACTGTTGCCAGCCAAGCAGGATGGGGCGGCAATCAATGACTATCGGAAAGATATACGGCTCCAATCTACGAGGGGTGTCGGCACATTGGCAATAGAATCACAGACAAGGGCAACCCCTTTACAGATCAGACCGTTGAGAGTTGCATCAGTAACCGGTGGTCGAGCACCTTGCACAGTGAGCCAGTGCTCTGGGATGCCAAAGGTTTGCGAGAGGTCCTCGAGGTAAAATTGGCCTCTGCCTGGAATCAGAGCAAACCGGCAGAATCTATCGGGGAGAACACAGCAGAGCTGGTCTGCTCTTTGGCATGGCTGCTCCAAAGGCAGCGTCACGGTGATGTCCCACCTCTCCGGGTGGCTTATCAGCTGCTCAAGAGAAGAAGGTGTCAAGGGTTCCCTGTCAAGCCTAAAGGCGACCAACCCAAATGCCTGGATGTCAATGACCTCATGATCTTGTAGCGGTAAGTCTCGTCCAAAAGGGAAGATGAAGACAGCATCCGCTGGATCAAGCCCCACATATTGCAACAGGTAGGCTCTAGAAGCTTGGGCAGGGAGTTGTGCTGCGAAGAGTCGCCCATCAACACTCAAAAGATCCAGCACACAGAAGACCTCATCTTCAGCCCACGCAGGGGTGGCGAGTAGCAATCCCCATGATCGACTAGGCTGCGGGAAAACGGGTCGCACCAGAGGAAAGATCTGGTAAAAATGGTCTTCAAGTCCAAACTCAACTGCTCTCAGGGCAGTCTGAACGTCCGACGGCATTTGAAGCACAATCTCAACAGGTCGAGAGGCGTGGCCTAAGCTCAGGACCAGAAATTTTAAAAACCTCGCATCACCGTGGGTCGAGGAGCTGGACGAAACTCCTGAGGCAAGTTCGGAAGCGTCCTCGCTATGACCTTCTTCCTCAGCGGCCTGGGTGCAACCCTCATCTTGGTTGTCTATGGCATCAGGAATCATCGACATATTCGCTCCAAGTTGAAGAGGATTAGGCTCAGGGTCATCGTCTGAAGCCTGAGTCAACCGTACATGGAGGCACCGGAAGGGGAGGGCATGCGACGGCTCCAGCACTGCAGCAACCGTCAACTTCACATTCCACTCTGCTGGGGCTTGCACGTCACAAATCCGAAGACATTGCGATACAGATGGGTAATCACCATCCGTGCACACAGGAGTCACAGGCAAGCCAAGTTCGCGAGCGTCAACAATGCAGAGTCCCCTGGGAGCTCCACCAGTGGCAAGGCTCTCTAGATTACCCTCAATGTCTAAACCATCAGGTCCAACAAAGAGAACAACTGACCGACAAGGTTCACCCCAGATAGCTAGATCATCAAAGAGCGAGAATACAGCCAGGAGGAGATCAGGGGTATTGATGCCAGTTCTCTTGGCAATGTATCCGGTGATCTCATCATTAGATTGTGACCTTGCAGGGAGGGCCTGAAGGGTCTTGCCAAGCCAGACTGCATGTCCCGGAGTGAGGTGGGTTACAGGTATGGCGTTCAAGGGCAGCCACTCGGGTGGAAGTCCAAAGGTGTCAAGCAAAGGAGGCTGCCATAGGACTCGCGCAGGGGCTGGCAATACAACAACAAGGTCACCTGTCACAGCATCAAGAGAGTCCGGGCCGTCCCGGCCTCGCAGCAGTGCTCCTACTCTGATAGCCATTTCCTCTGTGTCATACTTCATCTCTCCATGATAACGATCAAGGAGTTCATGAACCTTAATGTCACGGGGAACGGCATCAGCAAACAGGTGGCCCCCAACATGTGTTAAATCGACCAGCACATGAGCAATCTCGGTCGATTGGGAGAAGCTGGAAAAGGCCACAAAAGCAAGGCATCCGCGGAACCACTGTGGCTGTGCAGGCACAATGCGATCTAAACCTGGATGCAACTGACAGAAGATCCTCGAGGTCTGCGCGGTTATCCCTGCTAGGGACAAAGAATCCCCAGTGCGTATCCCAAAACTGACAACCTGGTATTGGGAAGCATAAACAGACACTCCAAACCAATGATCAGACTCAACCAAGGCTTTCTTCGCATCAGAAAGGGGGAGTGCAACGACATCTTGTCGATCCATCAACATGCGATGCAAGCCACTATGTTTGCCAAAAGTGGGTGCCCCAAAATGTCTGCAAGGAAGAGGTTCTGGCAGAACGGACATGATGGAAGGTATGGCTTCAAGCAGCTCAATTTGGGCTTTGGGCACAGCCCACACGCAATGTGGCAGGTTGGCAAAACCGAGCAGCCAGACAATCCACCAAGCGATACGGAAGGTCCAACAGGGTTTGACAGCTCGCAGTTTGCTCCTTGGGCGTGGAGCTGCAGTCCACGACAGCACAGGTTTCGTGGGAACCGTGTACCCAAGGGCCAATGCAGTACACTGAGGTACACCAGCCACAGGTAACCTGATCAAGCAGCCCAGCGGGGATTTTTGCCTGGGAAGGGCCTAGTGAGCAGACCCCAAATAACGGCAGCGAACACACAACGCAGGCTGCAGAAGAATGGGATGACCATCGCAGCCATCCAATGCAGAACCTGGGAGGCCAGATGCACAAATCCATCGGTACACCAGGGATCCGAATGTGGGTCACGAAAAACAAGTGCTTCTTGAATGTCTGGTAGATACCCCAGCGCCACCGATGTATCATTTAGGCACCAGAAATCCAAGAGAGACAAAGAAGATCCAAAACTGCTCTGCATGACAGCAGATGAACCGAGGCAGATCCAAGGTAAAGGAAAAAGGACTGGTACCTGAGTGTGGCTGGCACAGTCTACAGGGAATACACAAGAGCTGGCACACGGCCCAGAGCCACCGATCCGTGTTTTAGGCGCCAGCTGACAAAAACCTGCAATAAGCGAGGTCGGGCAAAAATGACACAAACAATGAAGTGCCCCCTCTCTTCGTGGCATAGCAAGGATATCGATCAAAATGCTCACCTCAAGCCAACCTTCCCCCAGGCTGTCAAGACTGCAAGCGGAAGTCCAAAGGAGGGACGAGAATTCCCGAAGAGACGGCGAAGTGGCAACAACCATTGCAAGAGTGTGGACCTCAGCTCCCGAAAGGTACACGTCTAGAGGGCGGTAGCCACTACCTACTTTACCTTCACTAGGATTCTGCCCAAAAGCAGAGGAGATGTTCGGACCCCCAGGTTTACCGACGGTAGCGTAGGTGCCACGAGGTTTGCATCCCAAGCAATCCTCAGAGGCAACCAGTGGTCCCGCCAGCATCCAGGCATCCAACCATCCCTCTTCTCTCAGGAGAACCCTACTATACATCACGTCTCTTGACCGCTCAGGTCTCCCATTTGCTGCTGGTTGTGGAGCTCGTCGTCGTCGTCGGCGATGAACGCGGGTATTGGTCCTTTTGTTGGGTCGATGCTGGGAATGAAGTCCGGGGCTCCTCCAAAAGGCCGCATAGCACGCCCAGTGGCCAAATTGGCAGCGAGTCCAGGAGGTTCCAAGTTCCCTGCCGGCAATCCCGCTCCAACAGGTGTCTGGTTGGGGTCGTTCCGTCGCTCGGGGTAGGGCGTGACCCGAGCACTTGGAGACAAGCCAACCTTGCTCTTCGCCACATGAGCACTCGGAGAGGTCTGATACGGATCGTTCAATGCTGTACCCACATAGGCATCTCCATTGCCCATGTTCACATCTTGGGCCTCGAAAGGTGCTGGGGGTGGCGGTACAGAAGGAGGTTTCATTACCTCCGCTGAAGAGGGCCCATGTGTAGCGGTGCCAAATGGTGCTTCGTGGACTCCCGGTGCAGGGATTCGCGGCATCGCAGCTGATAGCCCGGGCGGTGGAACTGATGCCTGGGAAGGTCTCGTAGCAGTCATCCCGGCAGAAAAGGCCCTCTGCAAGATTCCCTCCGGTCCTGCAACATTGCCTTCCTGGTTCCAGGACTGCACCATTCCATCCCAGGTTGCTGAGAAATCCTCGATCTCCGGGCCACGCCGCTGCTGTTGACCGGCAAGGACTGCTTGATGCACATTCCTGAGTTCTGCTCTCGCAGCATCTTGGAGTCTCAAGGCCTTGTCCAAGTCTTCCTCCAGCAAGGTCACATTTTTCGCATGCCTTTGCGATTCTTTGATCCAGGCTTCCTTGAGATCTGTCTGATACTTCTCCCACTGTTGCTTCTTTGCCTCGATGCTGCGCTCGATGTGCTGAACCTTCTGTTCTGCCTTTCTCGCAGAGTTGAGGCCTGCTTGCAGTAGCTGCACATATGAAGGGGCTTCGGCCGTCCCATCTGATGGCTGATTCTGCTTCCTCTCTTGCGTGGCATAGTTGGCCCAGCGATCCTGATCGTACTGTGGGAAGATGTTTCCCCGCTTGGGCGAAGCTTGCGTGGAAGCATAGGCCCCACGCCAATAGCGATAGTCCTGTCTGTAGGGCTGTGTGGCCCATTTGTTCTTGCCCATCTGAGAGGTCTTGACTGTGTGTCCGTGATGGCGGTCAAGAAGGCGGAAATCCCGGAAGCGAGGATGCTCACCTCTCTGAGCAGCCAGGCGCAGGCGGGTCTTGGCTCGACTCCGCTTGGCACGGAGATGGCGGTGCCACGGTGGGCTTCGAGGCACTATCCTACGGCGCTCAATTTTGCACCTGGGGCATTCAGCAATCTCCCCTTTGGAGTGTTCTGAGCCCTTACATACATACATACATACATACATACATACGTACATACATACACACATACGTACATGTACACACACACACACACGAACTCCCGCGCTTGCGTGTACTCACGTACCTACCGAAAAATGCGTACATACGTTCACACCGTGCGTACCTGGATTCTCTGAAGAGCAGGCTTGAGAAAGCGGGTGCGTTGTATGTAGCAGGCTCATTGGCTCGAGATAGGAGGAGCCGAGTTCCTTCCGTGCCGCTTCCAATGTCTGCTTCTCCGAAGTTAAGGCCTCACGAATTGCACGGGAACTCCGCAGTCAGTCCGTGTTGTCCGGATGTCGGTCTAAGAGGCACACAAGCGTCAGGGCCTTCTCAACTCAAGGCTCCAAAGGGCAAGTCTTTTACTTGGACATAGCTTGCGTTTGCTTGGGCCGTGGCGTCTTGGAACGTTTCCGCCGGTGGCCGCTTCTCCCGCAGCTCAAGCCGACGCTCGCAAACCTGCTCAAGCGGGAGAACATGGCATTTTCACCCACTCACAAGAATCCTTCAATTGCGCCTGAAGATACGCAAACCCTCTGTAGCGTTCGTGCGTTAGTTTGCTGAGGCTGTCCTGCTTCGAAGCGAATGGACTTGCCCGAGACATGCCGCATGTGTGTTGGTCCTCTGTCTGCAGAATGCCGTCCTCGATATCCTGGCACATTTGAAAGGCGGTAATGCGAGGGGCAGAACAGAGAAGTTTTCCACGCAGAGTCCTGCATGCACTTGAAAGAAGTGGCAATGACTTTCTCGTGGGCTGCAGCCTGTGAACAGGTGACTCAGTACAGAGAAAGAGACATGCTGACATGTCCCTTCGAGCACAATTGGCATCAAGTGGTGCATCAGCACATCTCCCCTTACGATGCAAAGGCCTTGCTGAAGACCACAGCCTTCTTTGCCTCTTTCTCTCGTTTGTCCTCTAGCTGCAGTTTTCACCAGTAAAGCGCAGGTCGCAACTTCTGGGTGTCAGGCAGCTTCTTGCATGGCGGCTTTGTTGGAGGCCTGCTGCAATTCGGACTCAACATTGGCGGCGGAAAGCTCTGCCTCTGGACACCTCGCCTCCACCACCTCGTTGTTGCGGACGACTGTGAGCATGTCACGGATGAGGTTTCGGGCCTGCTCAGTGAGAATCCCGATCAAGACGAGTTGCGCCAGTAACTTGGCAAACCTCGAGCCTGCATCATTTTGTTCTCGGACTTCTCGACCCATTTGCCCTGGCAGTGCACATGCCAGACAGGAAGATCCTCAAGCCTTGTGGCCCTCGTCATAGGTTTAGCTGCGCATAGGCTTTTTCGGATTTGAGATGTTCGGGTGGTCGGCACGTTTGCGTTGACAGATTCGCTCTCCAACACTCGATGAAACCTTCTGTCTCCTGCCTGGTTCGCGGGGGAAGTCGGCTCTTCCGCCTGGGCCACGGAGGGTAGGACATCAAGCAAAGACGATCACGAGCAGAACGAGAAACCGCGGCGCTCGAGTCGAAGAAACCTGCATCTCCCTAAATGAGATGACACATCTGAGCACAAATCCATCTCTCACGCAGGTCACGACAAAGGCAGCTAGTCGTGAGCCTGACTCTTGATCCTACGGCGACGGCGTCAGATGGTCGAGCCATGGTTGCAAATTCCAGACACCGCCCAAGACAGCCAGGGTCACAAACTGTTTGCGGACAGCAACACCACGGAATGCATCCACGCCAGAATCAACGGACACACACACACACACGCACGCACAAGGACCAAATAAGTTAAGTACTCGGACAGAAGGAACGATTGTCCGAAGGATGCTACGCGACATGCAAGCTAGGCGTGGTTCCGATCTGACTAGACACCACATGGTGCACCGGACTTTTCCCATCGTGTGCCGCTTGATGCCCCGTCAGATTGTATGCCTGCTGTGTTCACTTCCGGCTGCGTACGGACCTCAGCTGAGAACGCCACAGCCTGCTGCCGCCAATCCACTGACATATCAAGGGAACCGGCTGCAGCGCCACCTTCTTCTTGAAAGACTTCTTGATCTTGCTGTACCTGGGCTCTCGCAAGGGAGCAGTCCTCGCTAAGAGGTGGCTTTCTCAGTGAGGCGCTTGGTGAGGGCCATTGCCAGCATCTCTGGGCGGTTGTAGGTGGTCGCGATGATCTGCAGGGGCACTGCCCGCAGGCACTGCGTCGACCACATGGAAGGATGACGAAACTGGGCCTTCTTCAGCTGCTCGGGGCCCTTCTTGCTGCCTGGCAAAAACTCATGCAGCCGCATCATCGTTCCCATGGCAGGCTAGCCGCACCTTTCTTGATCCCGGTGGTGACCAGGACGGTGCCGGGCCGCTGTTGCCTTCCCTTCCTCTTGCTGCGGGTGGTGAGGACAATGGACTCCTGGAAAGCAAACTGGCCGCTCCGTGCCAGACGAATCTGCGCTGCCTCTACTGCGTGACGCCTCGCCCGATATGTTGGCACCGCACACCCGGCTGGAGCAACGTGCCCGTCAAATCCAATCAAGACTGTCATGATTTCATTTCGCATCCCCGGAGCTCTGGCTGCTTCCTCCCCCAGACGGTTCTATACAGTTTCT